GTGTGTGTGAGTGAGTGTGTGTGTGAGTGTGTGAGTGCGAGTGAGTGTGTGTGTGAGTGTGTGCGTGCGAGTGAGTGTGTGCGTTAGTGTGTGAGTGCGTGAGTGCGTGCGTGCGTGAGTGAGTGAGTGCGTGTGAGTGTGAGTGTGTGTGAGTGTGTAAGTGCGTGTGTGCGTGCGTGCGTGCGTGTGTGCGAGCGAGTGAGAGTGAGTGAGTGAGTGCGTGCATGTGTGTGAGTGAGTGCGTGTGTGTGAGTGTGTGTGTGACCTCAACTTAGGTCCCCATGAGTTGGTGTGTATTCAGGTTTAAGTCCCCACCAGTGTAGAAAAACCTACACACACACTCACACTCACACACACACTCTCCCTCACACTCACACTCACACTCAGTTCTGGAGTGTAATAGTAAACTAGCTCTGAAGGGCTCTTCCTCCAGCAGCTGATCAGCCTCGTGGTCGTCAATCTCACTCAATTACTTCCAAGTTAAAACTTCACAAACACACCACATCACGCGAATAACATGTTCTTACCGATAAAATCACTGCTTATTAAATAAACACTTCATAATCTCGACAGCGTTCACCTCAGAAAAACGGTCGAATCGCTGTTCTCGGATAATAATAATAATAACAACATATAAACAGGGCTTTAGTTATGATCTACATCTAATAAAAATACAAGCCCGGACGAGTAAATTAAACGACTACATAAAACAATGTAACAGCAAAGTATATAATATAGAACATAACAATATGAATATAAAATAAGTTACAATCATTTTAATAATTATTACCGATGATTTAACGCGATTAGTTTAATCCTCACCTGCCCTCGGATCCCACGGCCTCAGTTAAAAAGCAGTTTTAAAAGCATTGTGTGATTGTGCAGCTCTGGAACTTCCGGTCTCAGATGAAATCAGAGGATTTTCTGAATTTAAAACATAACGGTTTAAAACCCGAAGCGCCGCGCCTCCGTCACAGCAGCAGACCGGAACTCGGCGCCCGCGCTTCACAATAAAAGTCCCTCAACGAGCTACTAAAACGTGTGCTATTTTTATTTTAATCAATTATAAAATAAGGAAGGTATCTGAAAGCGTCTAAGAAAGTAGCATGAAGTTTCTGATGCTTTTATTGCAATATTTCAACTATAATAAATAAATTGTATTATTTGCTACCTCCTGATTTAAAATGTCTGTTGTTATTTCAGGTGAACAGAAATAGCAAAAACAACACCAGAGAGTCAGAAAAGATAGAACATAGTTTATTAATGTGCTTTTTTTTTTACACCGTACACACCAATAAAATTATTCACACTTGGCTTTAGTAATCAGAAACACATGTGAAAAATGTTAAGCATATTAGGCACGCCTTTCATAGAAAATAAATAAATATCAGTGTCAAAATAAAAACAAAAAACAAGGCAAGCTGCACATGAAGTTTGGCCCCTTTGAGTTAAGATACAGTGCTGTAGTTTCTGGAACATCTTTGACATTTCCATATTTTTACAAGCATTTCTAACAGACGTGTCGTTGTAGATTCACTCGTCTCAGGGGCTTCAGTAGTTGAGAACGTTCAAATGTCTGGTTTCTAGATCAAATAAAGCACTAAAACACGCCTTGAGTGCAATCCACCTGTCACTCGAGTGGCCACGCCCTTAATTATGCAGAACTTTAAGGCTTAATATAATTTAAACGGATGAGTTATAAAAAAATTCACCCCCCTCACAGTTGTCATGAAGGGCAAAATTAGCTATATAGACCAAAACCACTTCTTGTACCAGGCTGTAAACATGTTATTTTCTGCCGTAAAGTTGGGCATTTTAACATGGGGAGTCTATGGAACCGTTCCACACACTGCGCTATAGAAGAAACCCAGCCGATAACTGTAACCGTTACCTTCTAATAACCGCTCTAACTCTAAAAGAATAGCCATGCTAACACTGCGACTATAACGATCACAACAGAGGAACGATTTCGCTGGAATCACCTGATGAACAATAAAAACATTGACAGCCAATCAGAATCCAGTATCTTTAGAGCGCTTGAGAATTTAAAGCGACAGCATGCGCTTAGAATAAATAGAACGTTATTCATGAGCACGCTAATATAGTTATCGTTTAAGTTATCGCTGTTGTAGTTGTTGTAATATTTAACATAATAGTCGTCATTATATTCAACGTAACAGTCATTGTTATAGTCAATAATTATCGTAACAGTCAACATTACAGTCAGGGTTGCCATGTTTTCACAACAAAACCCGACTAATCGCTACTCAAAATTAGCCCAATAGCGTTTCGAGGGGGGTCCCCTGTTAAAATCCGCATTCCAGGGGCTAAATATCACATTATTGGGGTCATTTCAACCCGCGTGTTACAGTAGAATGCCGCAGACCTGACAACACTGGTCATCATTATATTGTTATAGTCAACATCACTGTCAACGTTATTGATTTACTGAAGATTTATCGCACATTCATGGCAAAATCTACAGTATTATGATAATGACAGTATCATTTAAGTTCATAGTTTACAATAATTTAACAATTTTATATTAAAAACATACAAAAAATATACATATATACTTAACAATAATGGCAACAGTAACAATAACAATTATCTAGAATTTGCCAATTTAGTGGACGATAAAAATTCTAAAATGATTCCAGGAGAAACCTTTTCAAAAAATGTCCATTAATATATTTTCTGAATAAAAACGTTGTCTAATATCATTTAAAATGGACATTCAACGGTCAGCGTCACGGTTACATCATCGTTATATTGTTATAGTCAACATTATAGTTAATGTAATGGTCATTGTTATAATCAATGTTAGATCCAACGTTACGGTCATCGTTACAGTTATCGTTCTTGGTCTGAACAGGTCTTGATAAAGATGATAAATATTCGAACACAACGAAAGCTTGCCGATTCAGTGTTAATTGCTCCAGTGACGCCGGGAACCCTGTGACGAACTGCCAACATCATGACGATGAGCGAACAGCATTTAAACCTCAAAATGGGTAGCGTCGGAAAGGCACTCGCGTCCTCACATCAGTCCACTGAAGGTGGCACTTACGGTCTCCGTACCTGAGCCAGCGCCGTCACTCCCACCAGGTGTCCAGTCTGCGAATGCGCACGCGCTGCTTGTAGTGGTACTCCTTCAGGTGCTCCTTCAGAGCGTTGGGCAGCGGCAGAGCGTTGATGCCGTCGTACGTGGTTCTGCTGCTGATGACGGCGCGGCAGATGCGCTGCAGGCTGAAGGGCTGCGAGCGGTGGATGGGGTTAGACAGCAGTGGCTCGAAGAACATGCAGGAGTTGGGGTCCTTGTAGTGCTCCAGCAGGCCGGTGACGGTGGGAGCGTGGAACACGCTGGGGTCGTGCACGTCGAAGCTGAAGTTATGATTCCACTGCTCGATGCGCGCATGCAGCGAGCGGCCGTACCGCCGGAAGCTGACGGAGAAGAGGTAGTCTTCCTGCGCAGAGTCGCGCAATAGAAACGTGCCTTCGGGTTTGCCTTCCAGCAGCGTTTCAGCTTGGTATCGGTCCATGACGCCGCAGTAGCAAGGCAGGTTTGTGATCC